TTTTCACAGAGAAAGATGGGGACGTAAGTAAAGAGAGTCAAAATCCATATGCAGCAGGCTTCTGCCCACAGACTACTGGAAACCTCAATGTGTGAGTTACATTTCCTGTGCCCATACTGCCACGCAGACCACAACTCCTGGGTGGTGCTGGGAATCCATGTTAAAGCTGCCAAGTTTGACTAAAAATGGCCATTGGACATTTCAATATGACGTCGGCCATGTTTGATAAAAACAGCTGCTGTGCTTAAATTGGACACCCGCCTGATTTTATTTTTTAATGACATGTCTTTCACAATCTGAAATAAACCATTTCCCCCTCTATATCCATGTAGAGCAAGTTTCCAACAAATGTTCTGGTGAATTTTAGCCGTAATTCTAAAAGGCATAATTTCTGTGACGATCATCTACCTGAGAGCACTTAGATTTTGATTAAATCTCTGCATGCATCTCTCTCCTGCTGCTATATGGCAGTGGTTTAGAGTATAGGTACGTGAAAACATCACATGTGATTCCTGCAAATGGTCCGGCTCTTCCTGGAGCTCAGCTAGAGTGGTGGAATGCCGGCTATCAAACACGCAGGGTGTGAAAAATGTGCAATACTTTGTAGCTGGTCAACAGTCAAGGACTGGCCGCTTTGCACCTCCAGGCACTGTGGATATCATGCACAGTCATGTTTCCTGAGAGACCTGCCCATTCCCTGCTGTTTATATAAGCATAAGCAAAGCAAAACAATAAGGATGCTTCCAATTTTACAATGGCGAGAGCTGCCAATCCCAAATGGTGTCTCAGCTTTCCGTGCGGTTAGAAATTGGATTCGTCCTCATCGCATTTTTCTTTGAAATTTTCCACTGTTGGATGGACTGGGACTGCTGAGAGAAAAGCTGTGGTTTTATTAAACATGGACGAGCAGCTCCCAAACATGTCTAATAAGCTGGAGAACATGCACAGAGTCAGAGGAACTCAGCACTAATATACTCTCTCTGTCAGCAAGAGGATTTAACTCTCTCTTTCTCTCATTTCTCACTACATCATTAGCTGACATTGTCAGTAGTCTCAGTCTCACCTCATATATTACCTCATTTGAATCCCTTGCTGCTTATTCAAAGTGAATTAATGTTGCCCGTAGGCCATACAAGCTCCTCCCTGTTAGGTTAGGCCTCTGCGGTACCAACAGGAAGTCTGCAGGAAGACCTGAGGCATGTGACCCCAGGCTTTGCCATTTCCTTCCATGGAAAACAACGCAAAGTATTGAAGCTTCAAATTTTACCAGGAGTTTCTCATATACAAGCACAACAAGAAAAAGTTTTTGTAATTTTTCCTTTATTTAATTTCTTTTCCAATTCTATTCAAAAGTCATCAGTATGAAGCATGTGTGTTATTAATGGAGTTTGCTAAAGTATCTTGCTAAAATATCTTGTGACTTGTTGAGGAGAGATGATCTATTACTCTTAAGCTGTTAGAATTACAAATCTAATCTATAAAATGGTAGTAAAACGACTGAAAAAAATATTATAGAGACTTTTGACATGGGCCAGTAACATAGTAACCACAAAGCAATGCCCTGGCAACCACCTAAAAATGCTAGCAACACCCTAGAAGCCACCCAGAACATCCTGGAACTGGATACCACTAAAAATCACTTATAACACGTTGGCAACCACATAGCAATGCCCTAGCAACCACCCAAACATCCTAGCAACACCCTGGAAGCCACTCAGAACATCCTGGAACTGGATACCACTAAAAATCACTTATAACACATTAGCAACCACATAGCAATGCCCTAGAAACCACCCAAACATCATAGCAACACCCTAGAAGCCAACCAGAACACCATAACGATCGCACAGCTACAGAACACCCTGAAACTGTATAGCACTAAAAACCAGTTAAAACACATTAGCAACCACTCAAACACCCTTGCAATGCCATAGCAGCCACCCAGAACACCCTCAAACTGTACAGCACTAAACAACAGTTAGAACACCTTAGCAACCACATAACAATGCCCTGGTAATCACCCCTAAAACCCTAGCAATGCCCTAGCAACCCACATAGCAAAAATCTAAAAAAAACTTAAACACCTTAGCAACCACCCACAGCTGTCCACAGCTTCCATCTTCTTCAGAAAATGTAAAAAATCTAGTATATACTGTATAAATACTGACTGCTGATTGCTTGCAAGCAGTTTAGTTCTCCAACAGGCCATATATCATCCGTATACTTTTGCTCTCACTCAACACACACGCACACACAGAGCCATAATTTTATGTTCATTCATTTCAGGGCACATAAACCGCTTATTGTTAAAAGCTGTCTTCCAGACATTTAAAGTCAGAGAGCAGCGCATGATAGTCTCAGTTCCCTCAATTGCTCCCTCAATAGCACAGACAGAGGAAGAGACAAGAGACTGACTCAAAACACAGACAAAAACTCAATAGGAAATGGAAGACAGGAAATGAGCACAAGCACTAAATATCAGAAGCAGGGAAGAATAGAAAATAAAGTTATTTAGCTGTTATCTTAGTAAAGATATCAAGAACAGAGCACAGCTTCAGAAAGCAGACAGATGCACACTGGAATGCATGCTAATTAAATGAGGCAGATGAAGAGAATTAGAAAGAAAGAAGTGCAAATCCAGAACATGAGCAGCAGAAAAAAGCAACATGACATATGCACCCATGCAGCATATTCCGGATAGCAAACTCTGTGTCTGTCTGGTGTGAATCAGCAAAGGCCTTGATGAAAGAACAAATACAGAAACATGAGGTTCTGCCATATGTGTCGCTGTTGGAGCAGGATGTCTGCCATGTGGGATGCATTATATGGCCGTCCTGCCACTGTCCACTCAGCTCTCTGTAACCCAGTGCCACCTTTGTTTTGATAGAGCTAGCTCTTCAGCGCCCCCGTCCAAGTGTCAGGGCCATTAAATCTTTAATGTGGCCGGCTCCTGAGCGTCTCTACCAGAGACTTTAAAGTTCACTGGGACTCTGTAAGATACCTCTCATTTAGGTGGATGGGGTTTGGAGAGAAGGGCAAGTCGGGTCCATACCGAAGCTAAAATTACGAGACTTGTCATCGGTTACAGAGAGGTCAGGAGAGAAGAAACTATGCAGCCCGCATCCAAAGTCAATAGCGGGTTGACTGGCATAAGCAAAATATTTCCACGCTTCACCCCGAAACGGCGCTCTGCGTTTTTTCCCTTCACCAGCTCTCACTTACGGCAAAACGTCCAATATGTCGACTATGGTCATTACTCTAAATTTAGCCAGATGCGCCCCGGTTTTCCACTGAGAGGTCCAAATCGGGAAAATCAAGCCAGGTGTATTCTAAGAATGGGGAATAATATATATTTCATTCGCCTGACTGTAACCAGCATCTATTCAAAGAATGCAGCAGTCTGAATCATTTTCAGCGCTGCTCTTTTGGCAATATGTATTTGCCATAGCTATAATTTTAGAGGGCTGTAGATGCTTAAACAGCTGCTA